CTATCCAGTTTTGATCACCAACTGCCTGCTCATAGAATAATTGTTTTGTGGCTGTTGTATTGATCTCAGAGAAGAACAAGTGTGTATCATCAGTTTCTGGCACTTCAATTACATAGTCAGACATCCAAAAAGGTGGCTTCCTTATTCTGCTACCTCTCCTTACGACATCCTTGTTGGCAATGAAGTCTGGTGTTTTCTGCAAGAGGTCTTGTGTTGCAGCTTCTGTTTCCTCAACATCATTCATAACTGGTAAAGGAAGGACTTGTGTGTTGGTTTCTGAAGTGGTCTTATGAAATGGAAACTTAGTTTCATAGAAAATCACATCCCTACTGATAAAAACCTCCTTTGTGTCCAGGTTGTACACCCTATATCCCTTAGTACCTGAAACATAACCCAAAAAGGCACAAGCTGCAACTCTCTTATCAAACTTCCTTTTGTGAGGTCCAAGCTTGCTGGCATAACATAGGCAGCCAAAAGTTCTAAACATGGAATAAGCTGGTGGTTTTCCATACAGCAGTTCATAAGGGCTTTTCCATCCCAATTTTTCACTTGGCAAAGTATTGATTATTTGCATTGCTGCCAGCAAACTGTAAGGACAAAGCCTCTTTGGCAACTCAGACTAAAAAGATATAGATCTTGCTACCTCTAGAATAGACCTATGTTTCCTCTCCACAACTCTATTTTGTTGTGGAGTATAGGGACATGTCCTTTGATGTAATATTCCATTTTCCATCAACAATGTGTCCATCTCCTTGTTCCCAAACTCACTGCCATTATCACTTCTCATCTGCTTTACATTAATCCCAAACTGCACCTCTATTATTTTGAAAAAGGATTTCAGCATTTAGTGTTTCACTTTTGTATTTCATCAAATATCCAAGTTGCTCTTGTGATATCTACAATTGTAAACATATAAGATACATTGAGCATTGACTCCTCACTGTGTGGCCCCCATACATCCACATGTATTAACTCAAACTTTTGCTTGCTTTGTATCTGACTGAGATTAAAAGGCAACCTATTTTGTTTTGATCTGTGGCACACATCACAAGGACTCACTTCCTGGTTATCAGAGTTGCCCTTCAAGAAATGTAGATGCTTTAGGCTTTGCACATAGCTGTGCTCAAGCCTCTTATGCTAGAGAATTAAATCTTCTTTCTGTGAACTTTTCTTTTCAACTGCATTAACCAAGGTTTCTTGTGATTCAATCATATACAGACCTGCCATTGCCTTTTCTAAGAACATGGTTGAGTTTGTTTTCAGATCTTTCAGCTTGCAATCCTTGTTAGTGAATACAAAAAACATCCCATTGTCTTCCACATGTTGTCTCACAGACAAGAGATTATACTTGAATTCAGGAATTAGCAAAACACCCTTAAGAGTAATGTGATCATTGAAGTTCACCTCACCAGTCTGAGTAACCCTCACTTTTGTGCCATCAGGTAGATTCACAGTGATAGGAGTTTGAGAGAACTTTCTTTTTGTCATCATTTTTTCCTCACAACAGATATGTTTACTTGCACCTGTGTCCATAATCTAACTGCATTTGTTAAGTCTCCCAGCCAGTGAAAAGGCATAATCTTCTTGTTCCACAAAGTGTGAGTAAGTATTAGTTTCTGCCTCCTGTTGTCCTGCCATGTACTTTGCAACCTCCTTATGGATCAACATGCTTATATCAGGAATAGTGTCACCATGCTGGGATTTGCCTTTTGAATCTCCCTTTGAAGAATCATCATTGTCTGCCATGTTTACACTTTGAGATTGTCTTTGCTCTCTTAATTCTTTATACCAATCTAGATAACCATTTATTTTGAAGCAACCCTAAACTTCATGCCCATTGTATCCACAATGTGTGCAGAATAACTTGGCCCACTCCTCTTTGGATAACCTTTGACCACCTCTTCCTCTACCAGCATTAAAATTTTTCCCAGCAAATCCTCTTCCACTATTACCTCTACCAAAAGGTGGTGTCCTGCCAATGTTTCCTCTCCCAAAGTTGCCTTTAACAAACATAGTTGAAGTCTCAATTTGGTTTGGAACTCCCATGTAAACATTTTTCTGTTTTTCAACTTTTAATATCATTGAGTAAGGCTTGTTTATGGTAGGCAAAGGATCAAGCAACAATATCTGGTTCTTCACTGGTTCAAAGACTTCATTCAATCCCATGAGGAAGTGCATTAGCTTAATCTCCATATCATTATCACTGAACTTCTTTCTAGATCCACACACACAATCAAGTATAAAAATAAAGGAAGATTACTCATCACATAAACACTTCAATTTAGTGTAGTAAGCAGTTACAGTGAGATTTCCTTGAGTGAAATTTGCTATTTCTTTCTGCAACTGATACCTCAAAGGGCCATTACTCTCACCATATCTTTCAGCTTAACATTTTTCACATAGATGAAAACTTCTACAATATCTTTGGAAATGGAGTTGAGTAATCAGGAGATTACCATGGATTCTACCTTTTGGTATTGCACGTATTCCTCTGTTCCTGTCTCTAGAACTTCCACCGTGCCATTAATAAATCTAAGTTTCGATTTCGTGATGAGAGCTAATTTTATTGCGCGGCTCCAGTGTGAGTAGTTCTATCCAGTGAGCTGATTAGTGACAAAAACCATACCAGGAGTGTTAGATCCATGGAGCGAAAGCGGATCTACGTCTCGAGTATAGATGCCTCTTCCAACGATTTTGCAACCTCGTTCATGCATCATTTTCTAGCCTGCACTGGATACTATGTAGAAACAAGCTAAAAACTAAGTAATTTATGTAAACAAGTAAGATGAAACCAGAAATCTTTTAGATCCCCATTAATCTGAGCTTGGAGCTCTGTAAAATCAATTGAAAACGATGAAGGACCATATCCTCATCTTAAAACCCGTACATCCCATAATGACCAATAAAGGACCTAGACGTGTCCCAGTAAAAGAGCTGAAAATTAAAGCAACTAAAACACGCCCTATTCAAGTAAGAAATGCGACTTAGGCTAAAAACTGAAAACAAAGAAACCAAAGAAAAAACAGAATAAAAGAAACATAAAGGAGAGCAGCATGCAGACGCATGCAGACGCCACAATTCAACAAATTCATAATTAAAATTTAACTCAATTTTACTATTCTCAATATTATCTAATATAATTTAATAATATCAACCAATCATTCTTACACATCACATAAACTTTAATTTATTATTCATTTCACATCATCTCTCATACTTTTACACCAAATCAACTTTACTTATTTTATTTTAAATATTATCTTAATATAAAATCTAAATCTCACTAACAATTAATCATATCCTTTTTTTAGAATTACTCTGATTAAATATCATAATTTTATTTATTTTAGTATGAATCTCTTTAATTATTTAGTATCTCGTCCGCACTGATATAGCACATAATAAGGTGCCGGTGCGGGGAGATCCTTACTGTAGGTACTATCGTGATTACGGGCATTGCACGACCAACTGTAAAGAGCTCAAGGATGACATTGATAGGCTTATAAGAGCTGGTCACTTGAATGAGTTTGTTGTTGAGGATACGAAGAAGAACGATGATAAAGAGGGAGGGAGAAAAGAAGAGGAGACATGAGGAACATGGAGAAAGAGATCCTAAAAGAGAAGTGATCCACATGTAGCTGGAGGGCCGCCGGATGGTGATTCTAATGGTGCTAGGAGAGTTAACTTGAGGGCGCTAGGAGAGTGTAGTGGAGGTTCAAATTGCTCATATTGTGCCAGGGTTGAAGTTTGGTGGTTGACATTAAATTCCCTCGGACGTCGGATGAACGACACGTGGATGAAAGGGGAAAAAGGGGTCGATCCGAGTAGAACAAAGAGAATGTTCCCGAGTTGCATAAACCGACCTCGGAGAGCCGACTACGTCGAGACACCGACCTCGCAGCAAAGGCAACCTCAAATATGGGCTGACGTCGGTACCGACAGGCTGCATTAAATGCACGTCCATCAAAATAGCTGAGAGCCACGTGAGGGCATCATTGCAAAGGGGACCCACTTGCTGAAAAAGGGTCTGGGCCCTGTCACACTACATTAAATGCCACCGCATCCCCTCAAAAGGCGAGCCCACAGTTGCTATAAATAGCGGCATTAAACACGATACGAGGATCTTTTCCGGGACATTAAATTTCGCATTTATCACCTCGTTATTAGGGTATTCTTCAACATCATTGTACTATTGAAAACCGACCTCAAGTCCGAAAAACCGACTTGAGCCAGTCGCAAACTACTCCACATTTAATAAATAAAATCACATCATTTCTACGTGAATCCAAGAGGTTAACGTTTAAAAAGGTTGATCAAATCCGTTTATCAACAGTTTGACGCTAGAAGGAGGGCCTCATAAGATATTTTGAGGTCAATCTTTGAATCCAGCATCCACCTTTGAAACCACTAACTCAGAAGCATACAACAATGGCACAGTCAGGACAAGATGATCAAACTACTAGGGGAGAGGACAGTCGTGGCCCGATCCCCTCTACTGGTAGAGCCAACGCGGCAATGATACCAGACCTGGAAACACTCATGCAAAACCCTGAATTCGCAAAAGGCTTCTCGGCGCTACTAGCCCAAACGATGCCAGGAACTTCAAGAGTCGTGCCGGGTCAATCACTTGCGCCCATAACCCCGGCCAGACCGGCGGCACCACCATTGCAACAGGGCTTGAACAACCAAACGCGCTCACATGCGACGTCCCAGCCAAGGGATGCCGCCACCCAACGACCTCCTGCCCAGACGGTGAACCCCCAAGAACAGAATCTGCAGGAGATGACGACAGAGAGCGAGTCTGGGCATGCTCGGAGGGAAACTGCCGTCGCTAGATCCTTGTTCAGGGCGGCAGGAAACCCAACCGACCTCCGACACCAAATAGTGCGGGGCCGAACGGCTAGCCACGACAACCCCGAGATGGAAGCCTTGAGGAGGAGGGTCGCCGAACTCGAAACCTTGCAGAACCGAAGGGCGAGGTCACCTCCCAACCAGCGCAGTCAAGAGACAGGCCACGTGTATGTGGAGACAGACTCTCCACTATCCCCCGAGCTGACTTTAGAGCCACTAACCGGGAAAATAAAAGTCTCACAAATCGGCATGTACGACGGAACGTCGGACCCGGACGCACACCTCGGGCAGTACACTTCATGGATGGAGCTGCACGGGGCTACCGACGCCCTCAGGTGCCGTATGTTATCCCTGACTCTGGGACCAAAGGCACAGAAGTGGTACTACTCGCTGCCTGCACAATCTATCCGACGCTGGGTTCAACTCAGGTCGGCGTTCCGCTCCCATTTCATCGGGGCGCAAGTCTGCCTGATCCCGAAGGAGTCGATCACGAATATCGTCCAGAAGGACGACGAGAGCTTGAAGGAATATGTTGCCCGTTTCAACGAGCGTGTGCAAAATATGGAACCATGCCATCCTGAAACACTCTTACTGAGCGCCATCTCAAGACTGAAGCCTAAGTCAATGTTCAGGTGGGCGCTTTGCCAAAACAAGCCCAGTACATTCCAGGAATTCTTGGTCCGGGCACAGAACCACGTGATCGCCGAAGAGAGCATGTCGGTCCCGGACTTTACGTTCACAGCCCCGGGACAAAAACCGACGTCGGAGAAGAAGAAGAAATCCTTTGGCAACACACACAAGAAGACCTCCTCCACGGACCCGCGGTGGGGGGATCCGAACGACCCCGAGGTGAGAGCAGCTCGAAAACAGTACCGAGAAGACTTGAAAGAAGGATACCGATCTATCTACTCGGTCGGAGCAGCTGCCATTTACGAAGAAATAAAAGGAAAGGGAATCATTCCTGATGCCCGACCAGTCAAAACCCCGGAGAGCCAACTCGACAAGGGCCGTTACTGCGACTATCACAGGTCGCCGGGTCACAATACAGACGAATGCTTGAGCCTGTTGTCGGCTCTGATGAAGCTCATCGGTAATCCACAAGTGAGGAAATTCACCAAGGCTGGAGATAACAAGGGGAAACGAAGAACGCAGGAAATCCCCGATGATGACGAAGGAGATGAAGAGGGATCGACTTTCAAGAGGCTTCGAGCCCAGGGAGATAAAGAAATTTTTGTGATCGGACCAGCGGACGTCGGTTCACCCCAAGACCAACTCAGGAAGAGGGGCCGGGAAGCCGATATCCAGCCGCGGCCCAGTCAGACGCCTCCAACCTCGGGACGGTCAAGTCCCATTCCCCGAGTTAATACCAACCGAGATACACCGACGTCATCCAGAAGGCAGGCCAAGGCATATGCGCGAAAGGCCTACAACTCAGGGAAGCAAGTCATGACCTCGGATCTTAGAGAAACGATCAATGCCCGCACTTGCCCAATCACTTTCACGTTGGAGGACACAAGTTTATTCGACCATCCACACTCGGACGCACTAATAATTACGGCCCCCATCTGCGGCATTCCTGTCCATCGGATCATGGTGGACACCGGGGCCTACACGAGCATCCTCATGCTCAAGGCGTTCAACAAGCTCGGGATAGACCCCGCCGAAGTCAGTCCTTGCAACGACCGCGTCCACGGCTTCAACGGGAGCGTGGCGCTCCCACTAGGGGAAATCACACTTCCCATCCGGTTCGGAGGAAACGGGCAGACGTCCAAAGTCATCATGGAGACCTTTAAAGTGATGGATCTCGACAATGAGTACAATGCGATCATCGGGAGAACGGCATTGTACAAGCTCCGAGCTGCAGTTTCCATTTTCCACTACGCTATAAAGTTCCCCACGGCGGACGGAGAAGGAACCCATTACGGGGAACAAAGGGAAGCAAGGGAATTGTTCCTGGAGATACCGTCTCGGGAAATCCACATGGTGGGAGAAGCCGACGCCGCAGAGGACGATAACCCAGGGCATGGGGGCAGCGAGCAACCACCAAACACAGACGAGGAAGACAGAACTCGGGATCGGGGGAGGCGACCTGGGAAAGAACCGGCCAAAGAAGATGATGTCCTCGATCCCCGATATCAGTTCAAGGAGAAGAAGTCGGGGAACCAAGCTGAGCCTTCGGAGGAGGTGGAGATAATCGATGTCGGCGGGCTGACCTGCCCTAAACAGCTCCGAATAGGAGCATGCTTGCCCGAACCACTCAGAACTAAACTAATACAATTCCTCCAAGCAAACGCCGACGTCTTCGCCTGGAAGCACGAAGATATGAAGGGGATCGACCCAAAAGTTGCATGCCACCGGCTCAATATCGATAAGACGGTGAAGCCGGTCATCCAGAAGAGGAGGAAGCTCGGTCCTGACCGACAACAAGCCCTTGAGGAGGATTTGAGCAAGCTGGTCGACAACAAATTCGTTAAGGAAACCAAATATCCGACTTGGGTGTCAAACCATGTCCTAGTCAAAAAAGCAAACGGAGCGTGGCGATTGTGCATAGACTTCTCTGACCTCAACAAAGCTTGCCCGAAGGATAGCTACCCTATGCCACACATTGACTACATGGTCGACGCAACCTCGGGCCACGAACTCATGAGTTTCATGGACGCCTACTATGGCTACAACCAGATTCCTATGGACCCGGAGGAAGCGGAGCACACCTCATTCTACTCGGCTCGGGGACTATACTGCTACACGATGATGCCCTTCGGGTTGAAGAACGCTGGGGCCACCTACCAGTGGTTAGTCAATAAGATGTTTTCTAGATTGATAGGACAAACTATGGAGGTCTACGTTGATGATATGTTAGTGAAGTCGGTCGTAGCGAATGATCATGTAACCCATTTGAATGAAATGTTTAAAATTTTACGCGATTACTCGATGGTGTTGAACCCGAAAAAATGCACCTTCGGGGTGAAGTCGGGAAAATTCCTGGGCTACATGGTCAGCCAAAGAGGGATTGAAGCGAACCCGACAAAAATCCGAGCAATACTTGACCTCAAATCCCCCACCTCGGTGAAAGGAGTACAGGGTTTGACCGGGAGGTTTGCGGCCCTGAACCGATTCATTTCAAAGTCGACTGACCGCTGTAAGCCTTTCTTTGATGCCATCAAAAAAGGGAAGAAGTTTGAATGGACCGACGAGTGTCAGAAAGCCCTCGAAAATATCAAAGATACGCTGAGCCGAACTCCGGTATTACAGAAACCGAAGCCCGACGAGACGTTATATTTGTACCTCGGGGTCAGCACCTCGGCGGTCAGCGCAGTACTCATAAGAGAGGAAGAAACGTGCCAATACCCGATCTACTACGTAAGCAAGGCGTTGCATGATGCCGAGCTCAGATATCCCCCGATGGAAAAGTTGGCGTACGCGCTCATCATAGCGGCGAGGAAACTCCGACCCTACTTTCAAGAGCACTCGATAACCGTCCTGACGGCCCATCCGTTGAGGCAAGTCTTGCACAGGCCAGACACGTCTGGGAGGATGATCAAATGGGCCGTGGAGTTGGGACAGTTCGATATACACTACAAACCCCGCACGGCCATCAAAGGACAAGTGTTGTCGGATTTCATCGCCGAGTTCACCCCCGCGATCCGAGAGTGGACGGACACCCGGCCATGGGTGATGTACGTCGACGGGTCGTCCACAGCAACTCGGGCGGGGGGGAGGTGTAGTCCTAATTGACCCGGAACAACGGGTGTATTGTCACTAGGTCCAGTTTCTTTTCTCAGCCACCAACAATGAAGCCGAATACGAGGCCTTGATATCCGGCTTGGGCCTTGCTGAAACCATGAATCTTACCCACCTAAACGTCTTCTCGGACTCCCAGCTGCTCGTTAACCAAGTCCTCGGTAGTTACGAGGTTAAGGAGCCTCGGCTGGCACCATATCTGGCGTTAGTCAAGCGGCATATGGCGAAGTTCGTGATCAAGATCGAGCATATCCCGAGGACATCGAACGTGCAAGTCGATGCCCTATCGCACCTCGCGTCCAGCGCAAACATGGAGGACGTCGAGTACATACAGATCGGGAGCCATGAGAAACCATCAACTTCGGCGCTATTGGTCGGCTAGGTCGGGACCGATGAGGTCGACAGAATACCGACCTGGATGGACCCAATCATTGCGTACCTAACGTCGGGAACGCAGCCTCAAGACCCCCGAGAGGCACGATCGCTGCGAGTACGAGCTGCCAGATACACCCTAGACTGAGGAGTACTCTATAAGCGAGGATACTCGGTTCCACTTCTATGGTGCCTGACCGAGCAGGAGTCGCTATTCGTGCTCCAAGAAATTCACGACGGCGTATGCGGAAGCCATTCTGGGGGCCAGGCCCTTGCCTACAAAGTCCTCCGGAGAGGATACTACTGGTCGACGCTCAGGAGGGATGCCACCGACTGGGTGAGGAAGTGCAACAAATGTCAGGTGTTCGCGCCGAACAGGAACCTGGTGCCCGAGCCCCTCAAGTCGATCGTAAGTCCCTGGCCGTTCGCTAAGTGGGGAATCGACCTGATCGGGCCGCTACCCACGGGGAAAGGGGGAGTAAAGTTCGCGGTTGTCGCGGTAGACTACTTCACCAAGTGGGCGGAAGCAGAGCCGTTAGCAACGATGACCGAGCAGAAAATGGTTGACTTCATCTGGAAGTCGATAATATGTCGTTTCGGCGTGCCCAACTCGATCATTACCGACAATGGAAGACAGTTTGAAGGAAAGAGACTAGAAGATTTATGCGCATCTCACGGCATAAAGCATTACTTTGCAACCCCGTATCACCCCCAGATGAATGGTCAAGTCGAAACAGTGAACAAGCTAATCAAGAATGGTCTCAAAACACGATTAGAAGCAGCGAAAGGTGCTTGGCCAGAAGAATTGCCCGGTGTCCTGTGGGCGTACCGTACGACCCCGAGGTCGTCGACGGGAGAGACCCCGTTCTCATTATCATATGGATCGGAAGCCATGGTTCCCGTGGAACTCGGATCGCCGACCTACCGAGTAGAAAATTTCGTGGAAGATCAAAACAACGACAACTTACGCATGAATCTCGACTTGGTCGAAGAGCTGCGAACGCGAGCCGAACTCAAAAATACGGCTTACAAACAGAGAAGCGAGCGCTATGTCAACTCTAAACTCAAACCTAGAACTTACCGAGTTGGGGACCTTGTCCTGAAGAGAGTGACAGGGCCCAGCCCAGGTCCCTTAAAACCGAAGTGGGAGGGACCCTTTAAAATAAGCCAAGTGCTACCTCATGGGGCCTATAGGTTGGAAGATCTGGACGGCATGCCCCAGCGATACCCGTGGAATGCGGTGTACCTCAAAAAATATTACCAGTGACGTTGAACGGGCCTCTGTGCCACTAGTCGGTCTCCGCGCCGACGTTCTGCAAAAACCAGCCTCCGTGCCGCTAGTCGGTCTCCGCGCCGACGTTCTGCAAAAACCGGCCTCCATGCCACTAGTCGGTCTCTGCGCCGACGTTCTGCAAAAACCGGCCTCCGTGCCACTAGTCGGTCTCCGCGCCGACGTTCTGCAAAAACCGGCCTCCGTGCCACTAGTCGGTCTCCGCGCCGATGTTCTGCAAAAACCGGCCTCCGTGCCACTAGTCGGTCTCCGCGCCGACGTTCTGCAAAAAAAAGCTACTGTGTTGCAAGTTGAATTCATTGAAGAAGCCTCCCCGGGCGAAATTGCAAAACTGAAGAGGGTCGACTAGCCGGAAAATTTTTTCTTTCAAGTAAGACATGCCTCCCAACGATTATCTTTCCAGGAACGTTTTGTAAACAGGGTGGTCTTTGTAAAACAAAATATTTTTTATATAGAGTCTTAGTGTTAAGATCTTTTGTACTCAAGTTAACTCGTGAATTTGAAATAAGTATTTTCGGGACGAAGATATCTTTTCATCGAATCTCTGTTAACAAGTGTTTGCGATCAATGAAATTCTATTCCTGTCCAAAGAGGTTAATTGAGCAAACTTGTCCTTATGTATTTCATTCCATTTTGCGACAAAAGAAGTCGGACCATTTTCGAGTTTCATTTCCGACCCTCTATTCGAAAACAAGAATGTTTGAAAAAAGTAAAGAAAAGCAAAAAAGTGTAAACTAAGAAGATAAACTGCATTACTATTAACCCCGGGGAAAGATTCTTGCGAACACAATAAAAATACGAAAAGCTAAGGACGTGTCGACTCGACGATCCCCGTTCGAAATTACAAATTTCAAACCAGAGCAAATGCGGCGACCAAATGGCCCACGCAACACAAAAACAAACACATAGAAGCAACAGAAGGAATAAAATGATCCTACTCGGCGGGTCCCTCGACTCCCTTCCCGGACTCCTCGGGCTCGCCGACGCCTTCTCCGGGACCTCCCGACGCCCTCGCCGGGTCCTCCCCGACCTCTTCTATATCATCGTCGTCGGCATCTCTCGAAGTGTCTCTGATCTGCTCGCCCAGCTTAACGTAGATCGCAGCATCAAGGGCGTCAGGGTCAACTAGAATCTTCACTGCCCCCGGGTTGGCTGATTCAGTCACCGTAACAAGCTCGGTGTCAACCCGGGACGCTTCAGCATTCCCTTCGGCGGCAGCGGCAGTCATCCTGTCAGCATACTCAACTACCTCTTTCTTGATCTCGGCCGGAGTTAGAACCTTGAAATGCTCGACGGTGATGCCGGCGAGAGTGTCGATGAACTTGAGACCGAGCTCTTCCCTCTTCTCTTTCTCCCCTTCAAGGACCATATCCATGAAGGCCCTTTGGAGCTCGGCACGCCTCTCGCGACTCAGGGGGGGAAGGGCTGAAGCTGTTACCTGCGGATCGGACCTGTTCAAGACGCCTTCGACGTAGTCTCTCTCATCGTCATCGGCCGGAACGCGCATCTCAGAAATCGAAGCGTCAAAGCCCAACCTGAATATCTTATTGTGCAAAATGAGCTCAAGATCGCCAACGCCATAAAGACCAGAGCCGACGCGATCAATGGTCCAGCGGAGGTTCAAGCACGTGTTGAATTCGAGGTCACGCTCCATCTCCTCAGAATTTTTGAACTCCTCCTTCCCGAGTTCCTTACCAGCTTCGACACCTCGGTTACGCATGAGAGTCCCATACTCAGCTTTCTCTTTCTCAAGTCGGGAAACCTCCGACGCGTGTGACTCCTTAAGCCGAATCAGCTCGGCTTCCTTCTCAGCTCGGTCCTGACGGGTCTTCTGATGATCTTCACGTTCCTTCGCAAGCTTCTCGCTCGTCTCCTTGGCATTGTGCTCGGAGTCGATGACTTGGCTTGATAACTTGTACACCTTGGCCTCCAAGTGCTTCTTGTCCTCCATCAGGGCCGCAATCTCGGCCTGCGCTGCGGTCAACTGATCGGACTTCTCGGCCACCGTCGCTTCAAGCCCCGCCTTCTCAGACTGCAGGGAGGAAATTTGAACGTCGCGGTAGACAACTTTGACTTTCTTCTCCTCGAGCTCGGTGAAGTTCGAACGGAACACGTCTTCCACTGAAGTCAAGCTCACCAAGGCCCTCCCCAGACAAGCCTTCGCATAACTGAATTTCTGAACGTCCGACATCGACGCAAGCATTACCTCCGAGGTTGGGTCCCAAGCCATCAGGGGAACTTGGGCCGCCCCGGTCACGTGGGACGACTGGTGGTACTTGTTCGGGATCTCGGGATGCGCCACAGAATGGAAGTCGGTAAACCACTCCGGGACACCAAGAGGCAAGTTGAGATTAAGGACCCTCTCATCGTCGAGAGGCAAGAAAGTAGAACTCTTGTCCTGGTGCACGGGAGCGTTCCTCTCTTCCAGAGTCAGAACAGGGTCGTGCCTCATCTTAGACCGACGCTCCCCGACGGTGTGTGGCTCGTCTTCGGGTTTCTTCTTGGACTTGCGCTTCTTGCGGGCATCAACCCTCTCCGCTTTGTTCTTTTCCACTTCAGCCTCCTCGGCGCTGGACACGAGGATAGGAGCATCTTGGGGGGTCTCTGGAATCACCTCCTCCCCGACGTCGGGGCGGGTCGGGGACTTCACGACCATCTCGGTCCCCTGGACCTGCTCGGCAGCTGGGTCAGCAACAGGGGCCTGGACCAACCTCGGTTCCCCCGTTGGAAGCATTGACCTGGTGACAGGACCAGTAGTCGAAGCACCGCGGTTGGTGGAGGCATTCTTCACGCTTTGTAAGAACTTCAAACGACCCATCTCAATATCCTTGGCGAATTGAAGCTGGACCTCAGAACTGGAAAGTTTGCGTCGGGAATGGTCGGCGTCCTCAACCGACTTGAAGCCGTGAAAACCGAGGATCGGGTAGTAAACTGCAAAAGCTCAGGTCGGAAAAATCAGGCACGCAGGGGGGAACACGTTAAGGCCCAAGGCCAAAGTCAATGAAAGAACAAGTCGACTCACCAGGAACGAATGTCTTAAACGGGCGGGGCGAAGAGAGTTCGGCTTTCGCTAATTCAACCTCCTTCAACAACTTACGTCAGCTACGATCAGAATGCGGAACTTTCGCAAGATCCTGAAGCCTCTCAGCGAACACGGCGGAGAGTTTGGGTTCCTTCTTCCTCTGGGCTACAAATATCAAAAGTTCCGACCTATTAGCGAAAAAGAAAAGCCTGTGGTTAGGAGATGGAGTGTAGAATAAAAAGAAAAACTTACTATAAACGTCGACAACTCGGTTCGGGACAGTCATCCCATCAAT